GGGGGTAGTCCCAACCCCATTCATTTTAACAAAACCATTTTCAACAGAGCTATTTGGAGCTTCCACTTGTTACAGCTTTGCACTCACGGCAGCAAACTTTCTTTGAAGTTTAACACACAGAGGGTGCCTTGAAATCTGAATAAAAGCACAGGAGAACAGTTAACAAGCTTCTGGTTGGAAAGATGATGGGAGGGAGCCGAAGGGTGGAGGGAGGCCTGGAAACGCTGGCCTCGAGCCAACAAGGTTGGGAGCCACAAGTCTTACACCCGGCACCTGGTTGGAGAAGGTGATTATATCCCCTGGGGTTCTGGAAACTTTACGGCCGGCCTGCCTGCTCCTGCTGCCGGCGCTGGGTTTGGGCTCCCATAACGGTTCCAGAAAGTAGCTTTTGCTCCTGATGACAGCAAGTAGGAGCCGGAGGCTGAGAGGTGGGCAGGTCCCTCGTGGCCCACGGGCTCAGGAGACTGCCCTACCTACCAGATTCTCTTACGGTTCCCTTCACGTTCCTTACACTGGTAAAAACACAGAATTCCTAGCACATAGTAGGCCAGACGTTGTGATGGTGAAAAGGAAGCAGGCCGGGGGTGGGGAGGCAGGGAATGTGACCTCAGGCTAAAACCCCTCTTCCCCGCGTGCTGGGGAGAAGCTTGCTCCTGGGGCCTCTTCTCATGTCAGGTGCGTTGGCACAGAGGGGGACTTGGCCAAAGCCAGGGCGCCATCACCCCGAGCGTGGCGATGAGGTCTCCAAGTGCAGCCACAAGTATGCTCTGGAAACCAACACCCGCATCTACAGGAGAAGCCCAGGCAGGCGAGGGGAAAGGAATAGTTGTATTACTGCCCGAGACAGTTTGAGCTGAGCTCTGAGATGGTCACTTACTGGTTTTTAAAGTCCCGCGTATAGCTTTCATGTTTTTCTTTTATTTTGATTGTCTGGTTTTAGGATTTACCTAGATACACACACACACGCACGCATGCACGCACNAGCTTTCATGTTTTTCTTTTATTTTGATTGTCTGGTTTTAGGATTTACCTGGATACACACACATACACGCACACATNTGGTTTTTAAAGTCCCGCGTATAGCTTTCATGTTTTTCTTTTATTTTGATTGTCTGGTTTTAGGATTTACCTAGATACACACACACACGCACGCATGCACGCACGCACACACACACACATACACACGCATATATGTATATATTATCATTATATATAAAAATTTTAAATTTTTCATTATACAAGGATATGACATTAATCACATTGACAATGTTACATAACTCTCACTCCATTTCCAAAATTTTTCATCACCGAGCAGAAACTCTGTACCCATTAAGTATTAACTTCCCCCTGCTCCTAGCCCCTGGAAACCTCTAATCTAATTTCTGTCTCTATGGATTTGACTATTCTGGATATTTTATGTAAGTAGAGTCATACTGCATTTGTCTTTTTCAACCTGGCTTATTTCGCTTAGCAGAATGTTTCCAAGGTTCATCCATGTTTTGGCATGTCTCAGAACTCCATTCCTTTTCATAGCTGAATAATATTCCACTGTATGGATATACCGCAGTTGGTTCACCCATTCTTCTCTTGATGGGTAATTGGGTTGTTTACACCTTCTGGCTGTTGGGAATAATGCTGCTATGAACAGTGGTGTAAGAGACTCTGAGTCTCTAATATAGAAGGACTAATATTTTTTGACCACTATATTTTTTGCCATTAAAAAGATCATCTGCACATTATATACATGGATCTAACTTGATCTTGCATGGTCCGCTCGCTAGCTTGGCAGTGCTGGCCTGGGCACAAGTGGCAAGGCCACTCATGCCTGGGAATGACTCTCGGGCCCTCCTAGCAACACTGCTGGCTCGGAGGACTTCCTCCAGTCACCTTCGGGCACCGTGGAGGCTGGTGCAGGCTGTGGATTCTGCACCAGCAACTTCCATTCTCCATGTCGGACTTGATAAAACAGGCTGCCTCTCAGGTATGATAAATTAAGAAACAGAATAACCTGGCCTGAGTGAAATTCCCTTTCAATCATGTCAGCCAGAGCAGATGTTGTCATGAAATTTGATGTTATGGATTTATTTCCTAATATAAAGTCTAAAGGGGAAAACAGCCTAAGAGCTGATATGTGAATTGGACATGTCTATAGAGTGTGAATTGGATTCCAGACAAAATATTGTGAATGGTTAATAGGGTCAGTCTAAGTATATTTGCTGAAATAATCTCTTGGATATGCAAATATTCTGAGAACTACACTGTCAAATATCTATTGTATCCTCTTATCTATGTGTTCACAGAACTGCTACAAGTTGTAACAAATGAAAAATGTGAATTTAAAAAAAATAATGTCACCCTAAAATAATACTTTACTTTGAATAGCAATTTTTGTTGTCAGGATTTTAATGTTTTTGTCACACACCGGACAGCCAGGTTCTTAGAAACAGAATTAGTTGGAAATATTATGAGGTGAGCTTTGAGTGTCCTGTTCTGAGTGGAAACAGAAATGGGGTGGGGCTAGGCAGGGAGTGGGAGCAGATCACATGTTCATCTTGATCTGGGTCCCTTCGCCTGCCATCAGCACCTGCCAGGCCTTGGTGTTATCCCTGGGGAACTTCTGCTTCTGGCTATCTGGGGCCCTCTCAGTGTGATTCCCCTCCCTGGGAACACTGTCTTGAGGAGTTGAGATGATACTTTTACGTTCACCATCTCACCATGGTAATCAGCCCCTTACACATGAGGATGGGGGCCGAGGAGAACTCAGGTGAAAAGCTCTTGGAGAGAGGCCTTAGGTGACTGCTGTGCTGCTGACCAATTTCACGGCCTTTACGGTGCTCTCGGGCCTGGTCAAATCCACCCGCCAAGCTGA